CATTAGTTTATAGATGGCTAATTAAAGAAACTCGAATTCCAGCGGTACAGGGTGATGGAGACAAAGAAACCTTGCATAAACTGAAACAAGTGATCAGATGAGAAGAAGGCTTCTTATTTAAGTTTACCAATATATAGGATTTTATTTTATGAATATTAATTATTATAGATACTATTTAGACTTATATTACAAATAACTACTTAAAATATACTACTTAGACAACAGGATACTACAATAATTGTCGGATGTTCATCGGCGACATGAACTTCAAGCCACCGTCCATCAAGTGCCTCGCTACGATCAGCTTGCTGGTTTCTGTCAAATGGAGTGCATCCCAAAACACGTATTTGGTCGGATTCGAACAAATTTTTGATAACGAAAAACAGGGGAGTAAGCCTCCATGAACTCCGGCAGTGTGACAGCATGCACTGTTTGCATTTTTAAATCCTATGGGAGAACAAAAATAACGTGTATATATGTCGTGTCAATAATTCTGATAAATTAGAGTAAAGAGATTAATATTTTAATTTTCGTAAAATAAACGGACCATAATATTTGGATATATGAAGAATATCTTTAAGCATAGCATGAATATTTGCATAAACAAAGATTGAACCGTCAAGATCCGTTGTAAGATCCTTAAGCAACCTCTTCAATCTTTTGTTGTATGAGTTGACTACTCCGTTGAACGTGGAAATGCAACCTCTAACATTAGGGTTCTTGTCTCTCTCAAAAGGGATGCACCCAAATCTCGGCACATGTTGGATTTTTAGTTTGTCTAAACTTGATCCAAGTATAATATTGTTTTACTTGTCAATTTGAATATAACACTCCTCTATTACTCACTTGATCTCATTTTTAGACTAGACCCACCTCGATATATATATAACAAAAAATTTCATTTTTATTAGTGAAAATGGAAGTTAATAGAAAAAATATAGACTGATATTATAACAATTATATCTAAATATTGATTTGGTTAAGGCTGTCACAAGTGATGAAGTTAGGATGGCCATTTGGAGCCAAGGAAAGGATAAGGCCCCTGGCCCTGATGGATACATAGTTGGGTTTTTCCAATCTGCCTGAGACATTGTGGGAACAGATTTTATGGCAACACTGAGGTTTTTTTTCGAATCCTCTAAAATGTTGCCTGCTTTTAACTCTACTGTTGTTGCTCTGGTTCCTAAACTGCCCAACTCTTGTAAAGCCATGTATTTTAGGCCTATATCTTGTTGCTCAGTGTTTTATAAAACAGTTACTAAGATCCTTGTGAACAGACTAGTCAATTATTTCCCCAGTATGATTGCTCCTAACCAGTCAGCCTTTGTGAGAGGAAGGAAAATTGAAGATAACACCCTATTGGCTCAAGAGATTATGGTAGGGGTTCCATCTCACCTAGGTGTGCTATTAAAGCTGACTTACAGAAAGCTTTTGACTCCTTAAACTAGAAGTTTCTCCTTGCTGTTCTGAAAAGTCTAGGGCTACCTGAACAGTTTAGGAAGTGGATAGAAGCTTGTGTTATGAACTCTAGATTTTCCATTGTGTTAAATGGAAGCCTAGTGGGTTTTTTTAGAGGTAGAAGGGGTGTCAGGTAGGGGGATACCCTATTCCCCTACTTGTTTGTAATGGCCATGAATGTTCTCTCCAAACTTTTGGATGTGGCTGCTGCTGATAGTATTTTCCAGTTCCACCCTAAGTACAAAATAGTGACTTTAACGCACTTATGCTTTGCAGATGATTTACTCATATTTTGTAAAGGTAATGTTGACTCTATAGTTGGGGTGAAATGTGTTTTGGAGAGATTTTATGAGATGTCAGGGTTGAGACTTAATGCTTCAAAGACTAAAATTTTTCTTGCGGGTGTGAATGATAATTTGAGGACTCTTGTGCATGAGGTTATTGGATTTAAACTTGGCTGCCTACCTGTGAGATACCTTGGGGTCCCTCTTGTGCCTAGGAAGCTAACTGAGAAAGACTGTTTTAGCATGGTGGAGAAAATCAAGGCAAAATTAGGACTTTGGTCCAACATATGGCTGAGTTATGCAGGTAGATTGCAGCTAGTGAAATCTGTCTTGCTTAGCATTACCAATTTTTGGTGTAGACAACTTATTCTACCCAAAGCAGTGGTTAGAAGGGTGAATCAGCTTTGTGCAAGGTTTTTTGGAAGGGTGGTGACATTCCAGCTAAGGGTGCTCGTGTGAGTTGGGATTGCATCTGCTCACCTAAGTCTGAAGGGGGCTTAGGCCTTAAGCAATTAGCTAGCTGGAACAAAGCTTGCATTTTGTTATTGGTTAAAGAGCTTCTTATGGCAGAGGGGTCACTTTGGGTTGCTTGGGTGAGATCTTACGTTTTTAAGGGAGTGGATCTCTGGTCTGTTGAAAGCAAACCATCTTTCAATTGGTGCATACAGAAAATCTTAAAAGTTAGAGAGGAAGTGCAACCCCTATTCTCGGGGATCATGGACTGGGGCAGAATTAATGCTCGTTGGCTGTGTGGTAGGAGATTAGAGGGAGGATAGTGAAGGTAGAATGTCATAAGGCTATCTGGTTTCCTTTGCACACTCCCAAGCACTCTCTCATTGCTTGGATGGCTATCCTCAACAGATTGCCAACGGCTGACAGACTTATCTGTATGGGAATTGGGGTGGATGATAAGTATAGGCTATGTGGAGCCGAGGCCGAGACTCGCAGCCATGTCTTCTTTGAATGCTCATACTCAAAAGCTGTTTCGGAGGTGATCAATCGATTGTGTAATATCGACATAACAGTGGGAAGTTGGGATGAGGAATTAAGTTGGGCAGTCTCTAGATTCAGGGGGAAAACTTTTCTTGTTTTTATACTTAGAACTGCCTGGTGTGCATATATATACTGTATATGGGAGGAAAGGAATCATAGACAGTTTAGGGGTCACAGTAGGGATGTTGCTAATGTAGTGAATTGTATTATTGAGGTTGTTAGGATGAAATCTGTTCGTATGGTCATACAGAGTAGTGTAGCCAACAGGGACCTTTGTCTAGCTTGGGGAATTAGATCCTCCTAGGAGGTGGGTGTTGGTTCGTGCATTGTATTGGTTGTAGCAGTGTGTTTACTACTGCTTCTTGGATAATAATATGAAATTTATCCAAAATAAAAAAAAAATTATATATAAATATAATGCCTGATGTTTTCAAATACCATCCTCGAGCCCATACATTCTTCAAGGAAATAATCTCTTGCCCGAAAAGGAAATCATTCGATCCACTAGCAACGATGAATAATGCCTGATGTTTTTAGCAGCCTCTTAGCCTTATGCCTGTCGAGACAATTGTTGCCTTGGTTTCGTCGAAGTGACTAATCTGTTCATCTAAGCTAATACGACCACCCTGTAATAAAAAATCATCGTTGTCGAAATCGATTTCATGTATAGATCTTACGGTTGTTTTGAGAAGAAAATGTTACCCAGATTAGTCCAGTGACGTTCAAAATACCAGAACCAGAAGAAGCATAATTGACACCTTTTAAAATAACGTCGATTGGGGGTATTTGGCGCCAAATATGGTGGTCTGAAATCTTTGGCACCCAAGCCCTGTTCTGTCACAAACAAAGTTCATGCAACAAAGTTCTCAATCCGAGTTCTTTCGTATGATAAAAATTCGTAAAAACCAACACTCAGATATTGTTCATTTTGACTGGAAAGAGCGACAACTTTGCATTCATTACTAAAGGTAATAGAAGAACAACTTGCCTATGATATCAATTACCGTTCTACCGTTAGTGAATCTCCCGAAGGGACAGCTCTTGCAAAAGTCTATTCCGTTTGGAAATGTTGCTTTCGCTAACGTCTTGATGTAATTGTTGTTTCCTACATCAACTATTGAATCGATCGCCGGGACTTTCTTGGCTTATAAGATGTCGAAGAACAAGAGGTTTACTGATGCTAAAACAAGAGATGTAGCTTCCCAGACGAAGAACATGTTCCTTGTATGATCCATTTTAATGTCGGATTCATGAAGCATCAATGTTTAGTGTAAGACAGAACCTGAAAGGGGCACTGTTTCATTGTGGTAGACCCAGCCGGCTTTTGTAGCTGCACCTACTCGGCTGATGAAGAACGCTCCTTAATACAAAAAAAAAATAGCATTAACAATTATATAATGTCACAGAGATAATGAATATATATTCCTTATTTTAAATTACCATTACAGATTGGATATTTATCGTGATTAATTGTGGCTAGAGACGTAATAATGTGTAGCGTGGGAGGGATCATAGTCTCTTTTAAATTTTGGATTTAATTATTTTAGGTCCTTTCAAATTTTGAAGTTGGATAAATTAAATATTGTTCCTTAGTTTTTTGGATTCAATTGCTTTTTAGGTTCCTTTTAATTTTGAAACTAGATGAATTAGATCCTTGTCCCTTTTGGTACAATTGTTTTTAGATCCCTCTTAGTTTTGAAACCAACCAAATTAAGTCTTACCCTACCATTATTTCAGTTTAAATACTTTTTGTATTATTTCAATTTCAAAATTAAACAAATTAATTTCATTTTTTTAATTTTAAAATGATGACTTAATAATTCGACTCTAATAATGTAGTAAGATGTATTTAGAGATGGTAACGAGTCGGGTTGGGTCGAGTTTTCAACCAATTCAACCTGACCCGAGAAGTATACTCCCTTCACCCAAACTTAATCCGACTCGAGTTTAGTAAGGTCACATCCGATTCTAAACCTGACATGAATTTTGAGATAAATATTTACATCTGATCTAACACGACATGATATAAATATATAATACTTTTATTCAATAATATAGAGATCTAGTTGATAAAAATTATAGAGACGATATATTATAACAATTATCTCTAAATTTATTGAAGAAAATTATACTATTCTCATGTGTCGAGTTAGAGATTTTTCATATTTAATTTGACATTATTTTAATTTTCTTTTTATAAACGAACTTATCAAATTAGAATCTATCAAACTAAAATCAAATTATGGTCCCTAAATACATTACATGTTTGATTAAATCGACATAAATTTATTTAATTCTATTTAATAGGACAGAGTTACAATAATTGTATGCACTTCTCTTCTTGGTGCTACAGTTGGTAAATAATGTCAATAATAAAGAGAGGAAATTACATCTTTAGCAGAGAAATTCGGTAGCTAAGCCTAAGAAGCATTTTGCAGCCTTTTTTTCTCTCATTATTTTGCTTGATAATTACTAATAACACTATAAGATGCATTTGCATGCTTAGAATTGCGCCACGTTAGGAGTAATTTGCATGGTTTTGCAACCATACCATGCACGTTTTGGAATTAGAATCCTCCCCCAATTCCTCCACCAGCACCGCCTCCGAAACCTCCACCTGCTCCGCCTCCAGCTCCACCTCCTGCTCCGCCTCCTAAACCACCACCACCACCACCAGCTCCGCCTCCTAAACCACTGCCGCCACCAGCTCCAGCTCCTAAACCGCCACCAAGACCTCCTCCAACGCCACCGCCAGCTCCATCTCCAGCTCCGCCTCCTAAACCACCACCACCACCTGCTCCGCCTCCTAAACCACTGCCGCCTCCAGCTCCACCTCCTAAACCGCCACCAAGACCTCCTCCAACGCCACCGCCACCGCCAGCTCCAGCTCCGCCTCCTAAACCACCATCACCACCTGCTCCGCCTCCTAAACCACCACCAAGACCTCCTCCAGCGCCACCACCGGCTCCACCACCCCCACCAAGTCCTCCTCCACCTCCACCGCCAAGCCCTCCCCCAGCTCCACCTCCTAAACCAACACCAACACCGAGCCCTCCTCCGGCACCACCACCGAAATTATCCTTTTCAAACCTCCGGCACTGAGCTATCCCTATAGCAAACATAAACATCAATGCAAAAACTCCAATTCTTTTGGAAATCACTCTCCCTTTCCCTGCCATTTTCCTTAAATGTAAACACTCCCAACTCTTGGTTTCTATCAACGTTGAGCGTGGATATATATGGCGAGCAACCTCATATATATATACACACACATACACTCTAAACTCCATATGAATCATAAATGCATGCAGCTGGGATCTTAGAATCTAACTTTGAACAAAATAAATAATCAAACCCTATAAGCTGGACGGTGACATTGTATTTAATGTAGTATCGTCTTCTCAACTACTACCACTCAGTAGCCTATAGTTAGCTAATCCATAATGCTTGCCAGAGATGCTCCAACACCCTCGGAAATCCCCACAGCCACAGCCGATCTTACTGTTTGAGTTAATTTAGTATTGTTGTCGCCATAGTTTCGTTGAGGTTTCCAGAATTTTTATGGTTTTCATTTCATGTATAAATATTACGTACTTTCTTTATCCGGATAGTAAGGAATTTGTAATCCAAAATAAAAATACAATATTATCATATAAAAAATTGATATTTAAGACGTGATTTAACATTACTTATTTTCATGAATAAAAAGAATAATGATTAAAATTATAATTAATTTAATTAATAATTAAAGTATTATATTAATATATCTCATTTATAAATGAAATAAGATACAAAAATAGATATCTTGTTTAAATATCTTGAGTTGGTCGTAAATTTCCCCAAAGAGCAATGATGTGGGTCCCGATGAACATGTAAATGTACGAAGGTGATGATGCCTAGTATTAATTAAGGAAAGACTTGAACGATTTTCATTACGAAGGTGATGACGCCTAGTATTAATTAAGGAAAGACTTGAACGATTTTCTTTCCTCTTGCAGATTTTAATGTTTGGCATCAAAGAAAGTAGCAGTAAGCCCACCCCATGTGATATGTCTTTATTTTTCATTAAATTTCAACATATAACGTGTTTTCTCATCTGATACAACACGACTTGTGTTAGAGTTTGTTGCTCAAATTATATATGGTTTGATTTAAAAAAATATGATGAGATCCATTTAGTGAAAAATAACAATACGCGGTGGATGTGAAGATTTTCGGGTCGGGTCGAAAAACTCAAGATGATCTTACCCCTGAAAAAATCTAATCCGACCTTAGTGTTTTAGAGATTTGAGCGTATAAGGTCAAATTGGATCAAAATTCATGAGGTTCGGGTCAAATGTCCTTCTTACTAATATTTTTATATTAAATTATCAATGGATCTCTATTATTTTGATATTAAACAATTTATCCCTCGTAATATTTGATCCTAACTCCGTCCCTATATGTGTGGAACTTTTACTCGTTTTATGAGTAAAGAGACCAAAATGCAATCAATATAAAGTACAAGGACTTGTTTTGTACTTTCACATTTAAAGTCAAGACTGCTAGGAATCCCAGCCCATTACAATAAGCCTTTTAGTAACGCAGGGCTTTATGTTACTTATCCAAGCCCATTCAGTTTTTTTTTGTCGATTGAGTTCACAAAACTCTAAAGTATACTTGACTGTACCTAAAAATTTCTCTCCCGCCAAAAACATGAAAACAATAAGAAAACAATTTCTCAAGATTCCCACCCAAAACAAAGTAACAAAAACCCGTTCTCCGCCGCCGTTGAGTCTCTCTAGCTTCTGTAGAAACTCTGCGATGAAGACTCTCTCTAATGGAGCCTCGCTAATGGAAATCGACAACGATCGAAAACGAGATGATGAAGAAGAAGAAGATCCGTTTCTCGCATTTATCGAGTACGCCAGGTCGGTCATATCTCCTGAAGAAGATGAGCACCCTAGTAGAAATGAAGACGGTTACACTGGAGCAGGATGGGGCTGGATCGCGTCTCGGATCCTCAAAACTTGTATTTCTTACTCGAGTGGTGTTACTGCTGCTATTTTGCTCGCCGATCTCTCTCAGGTACTACGCTTGCTGCACGGTTTTGATGATTTACTTCATTATGACGAACTATGGTCTAGATTGATCGATTGGAGTTTGTAGTACCTATTCTCTTTTGTTTAATTTGATATTTCCGGTTAAATTTATTGATATATTTTGAGCCATTTTAGACATTTAGTTGATTATCACATTAAAGAGAAAAGAATCGGCATCTTAGAAATTCACTGTTTAAGTTTCTTAAAAATATATAGATTGACCGATTGGAGTTCGCAGACTCAATTCTATTTTGTTCAATTTGATGTTTCGGGTTAATTTTAACGATCTATTTTGAGCTACTTTTGGTTATTTTAGTTGATTATCACATTAAAGAAAAAAACGGCATTCTTAGAAGTTCGACTTTGCAATCGTGTAATTATTTTTCCTACTGTATTATATCTATGTCGATTTAAATTTAGTTTGGTTTATTTGAATTTTCTATAATTCTGTCGTTTTATTAAGTCTTCAATTTGATTGGTTGCTTCCAAGGCTTGGGGTGAGCAACAGAGGGCAGGCGGTCCAAAGAAAAGACCACAGATCATAAATCAGATGAAAAGAAAAAATAGGAGAGCAAAGCTCCCTAACACAGTTACAATTGACTCAATGTACGAGAAGAATTTCTTGTCTTTAAGTAGTGTTTTGGAAGCTGTGATTGTGGATGCTTATGTTCTTCCAGGTTGCTATAAAATTCGAGCTTCACGTTGATGATCCCGATGAGTATTTATGCCTTTGTGTTATTGTTTTCGCTGTTAATTGATATCCTTCTGTTTTAGGTACAAACATTTACATGCTTACCTTGGGAGATTATTGGAGCTCCAATACCATTGATCTTTATCTTCACCGAAGGCAAGTGTATCAAACTACTCTCTGGATATTCATTCTTACCTAAGTATGTTTGTCGCTCCGACTTTTTTTCTCGAAGTATCCTTTGACACCCCTATCCGTTGCATATCCGGATATGTCTGTTCAAGGACCCTCAAAGTACTGGAAAAAATAGAAAAATTAAATGTATACGTTCACGTGGCTGTATTTTGCATGTACTTGCCTTCAACAGTTAAATTGAGTCCTAGTAACATAGCCAAATATAACTGTTTTCCACTGCAAATTGGAAGTGATAAGCTGCTTCAGGATGGTGGAAAGGATATAGGCATATAGCTGTTTAATTTGTATTCCGCCAATAAGTTTGTGATGATAACTCTTTGTAGATACTATGAGTTGGTTGATCCTCCCAATGGGATTTTGAAGAAAGGAAGAGAGATTTTCCTTACAGGTTGCTATCTTCGAACTGCCAAAGAGGGATCTGGTACCCCACGGTTATTGCCTACAGAATATCTTGTGATATTATTGGATGAGGTAACTTGCAATATATGACCAATGATTTTAAATGAAAAAATAAGGTCAAAGCATGCCAGATATTGGGGACATTCCCTTGCTTTCAACATTTCTTTTTCTCCACTTGCAGGAATGTAACCAGGTCTCTTTTGTTTGCTTTGCAGGATCAGGATGATGATGCAATTCTGATAGGAGCGCAGTTTTGCTCAGATTCTTTCTCTTCCATTTCTCATGATGGAGTCAAGAATGGTGTTCCGTATTCATTGTATGCTAGGTTGGATATATGATTTCTATCCTTCTCTTGTTTTGTATTCACCATATCCCAAATTTAGTTTTGCAATAGTTTTGACTTGATTCGGTCTGATTTTTTATCCAAAGCAATCTGCAACAAATGAAGTATGATTGCATCATGTTCATTGTACTAATTTTTCCTGACTTGATTTCAAACTATAACTGTTGTTTCTATGGGATGTCCATTTATTTGTCTTCTTCTTGATAGGATTGAATCTATTGGATCACTGGAAACTCAGGAACAATGTGGTGGTTTACAGAGGAAGCAAATCACTCTTGTTGATAATGATGGAGTAAAACTAAGATTTCTCTTGTGGAATGAGCAGGTAATCCTAGCCAATCTTTTCAGGTAATTCATGCGCTGGAAGGTACATTTGTGTTTCTTTTCTCTCTCTCTTTTTTCCCGCATTGCAGTCTAACACAATTCCTTGCAGCGTTGGAAGCATGCTTGCCCTGGATAGACCATATATTGCATTTTCTGCTGATAATGCCATTGCAACAAGCGATGAGTTTTGTCTAGAATATGGAACTGCAACACAATTATACTTGGTGCCTTTTGTTCAGCACGAGGAACAAGTGAGCTATAAATTATCATGTGAATGTATTAATCATCATTTGCTGTATAGAGCTAACTTATGTCTCTACCTCAGGTATGCCTATCATCCACGCAGAACCGAATTCAAGGATCAAAGCTCTATGCTGCAGTTGATCCTACACAAGGTCCCAGACTTTCTCAAGTAGTCTTGCCCTGTGATCCCCAAGGGTCAATTGACTTCAGTAATTATCCTCTTCAGGTGAGTTCATTTATAATCCTATTTCATTATACTTCCGTTTCAGAAACCTCAAATAGTGGCCTTTTTACTACTCAAATGTTTTTTTTCTGTAGCTGCTCACATCATGATAAATGTATTTTATGTACTGATTTTTATGTTCATTACACTAATATTATTTTCTCTAAAATTTTATAATTTTTCAGTTATTTGTTGCCGATCTCCATGATAAGATGACTGGCATCAGCCTTTATGGTGTGGTTGCAGACGTATTTCGAGAAAAGAATACTGCAGGAGTTATCTTTTTATTAAAATTTGAGGATGTGACTGGATCCATGTGCGCAAAGCTGCATTTTTCTCAATCATGGTGCAGTTAACTTTATGCATTATAGCACCATTATGTTCTCTGGCTCTTCATTTTTTTTTTGCTTGATATCCATAAGACATTTCTCAGGTCACTGGGAAGAGTAAGCGTTGGTCACACAGTATATATTTCGGGCTTGGCATGTTCTAAGACAAAACAAAATCGGTAAGCATAGATTTGAATTTATCAGTATATCTTAATAGCATTTATTCAATGAAATATTAGCTTGAAGTTTTTACATTTATGGTTTCTCATTTACCTGATCTAAGGTTCATAGTGAACTTGCCACTCACGGTTTTAATAGCATTTTGTGAACATCTGATACCGTGACTGCTTGCTTTGCTTTACAGCTTTGAACTATCGTGGTTTGAGATGGAAGCTGGAGCTTCTTTTATCAACCTTAGTTGCTTACCAGCATTATTAAACTCATCTTGTCTTCACAGGCTATCACGCCTTTCTGATCTCTCCAGCAGGAGTAACTCAATGCATGTATGGATCAAATACCATTTTAACTTTCAATTGCTCCTACGAATGCTCTATCTCAAGTTATATTCGGATATAAGCATGAAGATACGACCCTTAAAGACCCTCCAAAAGAATCAAATTTTTTTAAAAAAGTTGAACATTCCCATCTTCGATACTCAAACTGAGTTCAAGTTCCATAGCCAATTGATCTACCTAACTTTTTTCTATCTATCTTGACAAAATGAGAATGATCCATTTCAATCCTGAGTTGCAATAGTTTTACTTTCCTGTCTCGAACATATTACAGGTTTGTCGGGTTTGGCTTGACCAAGTTGATCATGTTAAAACAAGATTCTCACATGCTCCTTGTGGGCAATTTGTCAAAGAGATGCCAAGCGGTGTAGTTGAGTGCAGTTTCTGTCACTGTAATTGTGATGGTGAAGTTGTCGTGTGTGCTTTCTACCTGAAACTCACCCTTGCTGATGAGAACACAAAAATTCTTGCATGGTGTACCGGTCAAACTGCTACAGAGTTACTGCAAATATCATCTGATGAATTCTACGAGCTGTCTGAGGTAACTGCTACTAGTTTTGGGGATAAATCATGATTAGCATCAAATTGCTATTTTTTAAAGTTCATATAATGGTATAAAGGAATAGTGAGGGCTGTGCAGGAGTAGATTATACCCGAACCATGTTGGTTTGTTAAATCAGGTTGGTTTGTCTGTTATAACCCAACCTAACTCATTAACCATACACAGTAATTTAATAATCAAAGTTAACTAAGTTGGTTAGGTTATTTTCTCGTGACAAAACCAAGATCGATCGGTTTCGGATAATTTCTTCATGATGATCAGTTACGTTGATCTAATTTTTTAAACCGAACCGATCAACTGCATATTTATATTCAGGACAATGATTTTACATTCTAGTTCCCGAATTGCTTCTTATGATTTGAAAATTTGTAATTTGGTGAATTGTATAAATCCCCAGGAGGAGCAAGTTATGTACCCTTCTTCACTAGAAAATGAGAGATTCATTGTTGCATTAGTGAATTGCAAGCGGCAAGCAGTGTATGGATCTTGCGACAGTCCAAACCTGGAGGCTGATGCAGTTTCATGGGAGATCACTCGGGCACTCAAGTACGAGTAGGGCTGCTCTATCAGGGTTTGATCAATATGGTCAAGTGACATATATGTCTATAAGCATATATTAAATACGAGTGTGCAAGTTCATGGTAACTTAAATATGGGGATGACATTTAGGAAGGCTTGTTCTCATTATTAGTATCGCTAATCTAATGAAATATTGTATTGCATTTATAAGTGTTAAAATGTAATCTTTAAAGATTCTTTAAATATATATAAAAAGAACTTAAAAAAGTTATTTACCCAACATTTATTTAAATATGATATACTAATCCGAATAACATAGATATTTATTATTGACATTTAAGGGTTTGTAAGTTGTATATTGTTTCATAATTAGATCAAAGTTACAACTTATATTTTAAATTTATCTGATATTAATTTTAAATAAATTATATTTGAAAATAATTACATTAATTAATTGAATTAACACTGTATATGTATTAGGGGTGTTCAGATTCAATCCGATTTAAAAAAATAACCGAAAACCGAAAAAACCGAAACTGATTTAGTATGTTTGGTTTTTTCTTATAAAAAAATCGATTGGTTTTGTTCGGTTTCGGTTTGAAAATTTGAAACCAATCCAAATCGAACCGAACCAATAAAATATAATAGTTAATTTACAAGTTTAAAACAAACCTATCCATAGCTCAGTGGTAGAGCATCTAACTGCAGATCAAGAGGTCCCTAGTTCGAACCTGGTTGGGCTCCTAGTTTTTAATTTTTTTTCCTTTTGCTTTCTTTGATAATACAAACATTGGGTGTTTCGTTCCTTTTCCCTTCTCCATCCTTTCATATTTAATTTTATGCATCAGTATTGGTATTGTAATAATATGTTTGTTTAGAGAGTATATGCTATCATATTATAATATATAAAGTCATTCTGTAATCATATCTATATAAATAGAAATATCTTTTCTTCATTTCAAATGGCAAGTTTTGGTTACAACAATGAAACCATGAAAAGGAAACTGTGTTAGGAAAATAAACCGAGTACAAGTAATTTCCCTATAACCAGATTAGTGAGAATGCAAAATAAAAGCGGAAAAATAATACCCGAAATTGATAACGGAGTTCAGCCAATTGTGCTTACGTCTCCGGACTGCTACAGATCTTTTACTAAGAGAGAAAATTTACAGGTGTTTACAAAACACTCACTACTCACAAGAAAACTCTTTAGTATTGGGAGAAAGAAATGATTTTTGGGATGATTTTGAAGCTAAATGGGTAAGGGTATTTATAGTAGAAACTTAGGGACTAATCTTTGAAAATACCCTAAAGTGCAATGACTAAAGTGAATTTACCCATTCCTATTTTCAACAAACATCTACCAAAATTTTACCAAACTTTGAAAAACATTTTTCAAAGAAACATTTACCAAACTTTGAAAAAACATTTTCCAAAGTTGGTTGCCAAACGTTGAAACTTTAACAATCTCCCACTTGAAGACTGATTTTAATATGTCTTCACACCTCGATCAATGCAGCAACATGTCTGGTCTTGTTATTCTAGCATGCCAACTGAAGCTGAACACAACTTCAGTTTGTCCGTAGTCACCGTCTTTGTCAACATGTCTGCCGGATTTTGAGCTCCACTAATCTTTTCAAGTTTCAAAATCCCATCTTCCAGAAGAGACCGGATAAAATGATATCTCAATTGTATGTGCTTTGTCCTGGAATGAAAAGACGGATTCTTTGCTAGATGGATAGCACTTTGACTGTCGCAATACAAGATATTGTTTTCTTGTTTCTTGCCTAACTCTTCCAAGAAACTTTGGAGCCAAACCATCTCCTTGCTGGCTTCCGTAACAGCGACATATTCTGCTTCAGTTGTGGAGAGAGCAACTATCTTCTGTAGTTGAGAAACCCAACTCACTGCAGTTCCTCCTAGAGTATAGACATACCCTGTAGTGCTCATTCTGATGTCGACATTTCCGGCTAAGTCAGCATCTACATAGCCTGTCAGTATCATATCTCCACCTTTGAAACAAAGTGCTTTGTTTGTGGTACCCCGAAGATATCTGAGGATCCATTTGACTGCTTCCCAGTGTACCTTGCCCGGATTATTCATGTACCTGCTAACAGCTCCCACTGCATGAGCAATATCTGGTCTGGTACAAACCATGGCATACATCAGACTTCCAATTGCTGAGGCATACGGCACCTTCACCATGTGTGCACGTTCTTCCTTCGTCTTTGGTGATTGGTCTTTGGAGAGTCTGAAATGAACACCTAAAGGTATACTTACTGGTTTAGCATCTTGCATGTTGAACCTGGAGAGTACTTTGTTGATGTACTCAGCCTGTGATAACATCAAAGTCCCCGACTTTGTGTCTCTCTTGATCCTCATCCCAAGAATCTGCTTTGCAGCGCCCAGATCCTTCATAGCAAACTGCTTTGACAATTTTTGCTTCAAGTTTATGATCTCTTGCATGTTTGAGCCTGCAACGAGCATGTCATCAACGTACAACAATAAAATAATGAAACTATTGTCGAACCTCTTGATGTAGCAACAATGATCTGCTTGGCATCTGGTAAAACCATTGCTACTCATGAAACTATCGAACTTCTTGTACCACTGTCTAGGAGCTTGTTTTAAACCATACAAGCTCTTCTTCAACCTGCATACCAGGTTTTTCTTGCCTGCCTCTATGAAGCCTTCTGGCTGCCTCATATAGATCTCTTCCTCCAAATCACCATGAAGGAAAGCTGTCTTTACATCTAACTGCTCAAGATGTAAATTCTCCGCAGCTACAATTTTCAACACCAGTCTGATTGTAGACAGTTTTACGACTGGAGAGAAAATTTCATTGTAGTCAATACCTTCTTTTTGCTGAAAACCTTTGACAACCAATCTTGCTTTGTAGCGTTTTCTCCCATCATGTTCTTCTTTGATCCTGTAAATCCACTTGTTATGGAGCGTTTTCTTGCCTGGTGGTAATTCAGCTAATTCCCACGTCTGATTTGACATAAGCGAGTCCATCTCATCTTTCATGAAAGACTCCCACTTGACTGAATCCTCCACCTGCATTGCTTCATCATAGCACTCTGTTTCACCATTGTCAGTCAGCAACAAATAGTGCAAAGAAGGCGAATACCGTTGGGTTGGTTTAGGAATTCTGGAGGAGCATCTCAGTTCTGGTGTGTGTGGTTCTTCTTGAACTGCTTCAGGATTGATCTGAACATCATTTCCAGAAATCTCCTCGAACTCAGCAAATTTCTTTGTTTCAGCTTCGGTATTACTTGATTCTGCGGTTGACCTATCTTTGTACATCACATTTTCATTGAAAATGGCGTCTCTGCTTCTTATAATCTTTCGATTTTCGTAGTCCCAAAACCGGTAACCGAACTCATCACCACCGTAACCAACAAAGACGTATTTGTTGGACTTGGCATCAAGTTTACTTCTTTCAGCAGAGTTTATGTGTACATAAGAAATACAACCAAACACTCTTAAGTGTGAAAGGTTTATTTCTTTCTTGCTCCAAGCTTCCTCTAGTATTCCGCCATCCAAAGGAACTGAGGGCCCACGGTTGATCAGGTAAGCTGCAGTGTTGATAGCTTCAGCCCATAGAAATTTGGGCAATCCGGCATGTATCCTCATGCTTCTGGCACGTTCATTCAGAGTTCTGTTCATGCGCTCTGCTACGCCATTCTGCTGCGGTGTTATGGGAACTGTTGTCTCCATCTTGATCCCATTGTTTGCGCAGAAATCTCTGAAACTACTGTCTCTGTACTCTCCTCCATTGTCAGACCTCAACCGCTTGACTTTCAAACCAGTCTCATTTTCCACCATGACCTTCCATTTTCTGAAGGTATCAAAGACTTCTGATTTCTTCTTCAGAAAATAAACCCACACCTTCCTTGTTGAATCATCGATGAAGGTGACATAATATAGTGAGCCTGCAAGAGATGGAACAGGGGATGGTCCCCATACATCAGTATGAACTAATTCTAACCTTTCTGCCTTGGGAGTCTTGCCAATCTTTGTAAAACTGACTTTCTTTTGTTTTCCAAAGATGCAATCCTCGCATAGTCCGACATCTATATTCTTTAGATCCGGCAGCTTCCCTTTTGACAGAAGTATCTTCATTCCTTTCTCGCTCATATGACCGAGCCTTTGGTGCCATAGGTTTGATTTTCTATCAGCATCTGCTACTGCAATGATATTCTCTAAATTTGAGGTTACATAGAGAGTACCGGTCTTCTTACCACGAGCAATGACGAGTGCTCATTTGGTAATCTTCCATTCACAGCCTGAAAAAGTTGTACTATATCCTTCTCCATCAAGCTGTCCAACAGAAATCAGATTTCTTTTGAGGCTAGGAATATGTCTCACTCCTGTCAGCTTCCAGGTGGTTTGGTTTGGCAGCTTTAGTCGGATGTCTCCTTTTCCGACGATCTTCAAGGTTTCATCATCAGCTAGATGAACCTTCCCAAAATCACCACTGACATAGTTCTCCATGATTTCTCGGCATGGGGTGGAGTGGAAAGATGCCCCTGAATCCAAGATCCATGATTCAATCGGACTGTTGACGCTTAAAATCATGGCATCACCTGTCTCCTCCGTCATATTGGCAGATTCCTGTGCGCCGGTATTTGTCTTCGGTGCTTGACAATCTCTTTTGAAGTGACCCTTCTTGCCGCAATTATAACAGGTAAAATCTTTATTTCCTGTTCTTGATTTGTCCCTTCTGGATTTTGATCTGCCACGATTTGAATTTCTTTCTGAAGTTCTCCCTCTAGACTCCGTGTGCAAGGCTGAGGAGGTTGATGCTTCACCCGATTCTCTTCGTCGAATTTCTTCACTCAATACCAGATCCCGAACATCGTCGAATTTTAATTTGCTGTTTCCCGACGAACTGCTGACTGCTGTAACAGTAGCATTCCAACTGTCTGGTAGAGATGATAAGAGAATTAAAGCTCGAACTTCATCATCGAACTCAATTTCCACTAAACTCAACTGGGTTGTGATTGTGTTGAGTTCATTTAGGTGTTGTGCCACCGATGCCCCTTCCGCCATCTGCAAATTGAATAATCGCCTCATCAAATGAACTTTGTTTGAGGCCGATGGCTTCTCGTACATACTGGAGAGAGCCGCCATAAGACCCGCCGTGGTCTTTT